TAGAACGAACATTGCACCACCAATGAATTGAAGGAACACGTCTCTATTCTCAAATCGTTTTAAGTAGGAAGACATGAAGGTAAGTAACAATACGTACCTCTTCTGTAACGAAAACCTTATACAGATCTTCAGGCGTGCATATAAAGTCCTCCTGCAATGAAATCTGGACAGTACTTTGAGCATCAACTTCTCCTGCAACCGCATGCATTTTTGAGGAAGCTATATCAGAACTCCGTATGGTATCAACCAGTGGTTTGGTATTCGGAGGTTGCTTCATGATTGAGTTGGGAATATCCGGCTTATCTTTTGTTGGCAAGATGAGATCTTTCCCATACTCTATAAGGATTTAAGACTCGTATCATGATACCACAGCGCAAAACCCACCATGCTTCAAATCAGTTACATAGATCTCAAGCTGCTTCCGCAAGTAAATAGCTCCCTCCGTTCGAAGAAATTCCTTTAATTCATTAGCCTCAGGTTTGGTGGACTGACAAGAAACCTCAAAGTCCCACTCCTCAGGAGAGTATTCCTCACTCAAGTTGTTCACTACTACCGTTCCATAGGCCTTGACAGGACTTTCACCACCTTTTTTACATCCTTAAAGTAGGACCAAAATAACCGTAGCAAAAGCCCGGGAGAATTGAAAGGAAGAAGCATACCTTTCCATTCCATTTCAATGACCCATTCATAGAAGATTATCAGCTTAGCTTTTCTATTATTGGCAGCAGCCTCCCCCTCACATTTACTAACTTTGACTACCTCAAGGTAATCTAAACAATGAGCGATAACAAACTTCTCACATTTATCTGTATCAACGATAAAACCTGTAAGCAGAGACTTGATCTTATCGATTGACCATTGTGTGGCCTTTTTTTCTATCCAATGCCAATTATTTACATTCTTGGCGTCAGCTCGTTCTTCGACAATCCACCGAGGATCCCCTTCACCCCACTTAGCCATTGCCTTTAGATACAATACACGCGGGATCCGTTCCGGAATGTTCCAATGATTGATGACCTTGACTAACTGTATTAAATCAGAATTCTTCGAATAAATTATGATATTTACGAATTGTGTAGGTACTTTTGTATCTTAATTCTTCAGCCGACGACTTTCACCTGGTTTGCAATTTCACTTATACCTGTTACACTCCCAATAACAACCTCCTCAAAAGCGAATAAAATTGAGGATTCGAGCAATAAATAGTTCGTTTTACTGTGTCCATCAAGTGTATGCTATCTAGAGGAAAATAGAAGCTAAGCTGGCACGACCCTAAGACTTACCACCAGATAATGGGAAGCATTAAGTCTGAACACCTATACTCAAGGACAAAGAAAGCATCGGGTTTTCGTTTTTCCCGAAGGCCAACCCACACTTACAAGAACAAAGTAAACAAAGTTGTATGACCTCGTTTTTGTGACGAACTAATTTTAAAAATGAAGTGCTGAGATATTTTGAAGGCAGTTTAATGCTTTGTTTATGTGATTGACGGACGCTTAGTGGTCACTTTAGAATTTGTCCGACTCTTGTACATGTGGGCTGGTCTTCGGGTCGCACTCGGGTCCATTTGCTCCATCGTTTTCGGAATGCGTGTATTCAACCCCACTTATGTCTTCTTCTACCCTGTGGGAAGTCTCGGAATGCTAACCTGACATTTTCTTAACGGCTTTTAGGTTTAAGGCGATTTTGAATTACTTAAGCTTCTGCCGAGGTGGGGTCTCTCCATGCAGCTTGTTCTTCGTTGGTCGTCTCTTAAAAGCGACATAGTGTGCAGGAAAATCTATTGCCCAGCAGACACCACTAGCTGCATCCTAGTTTTTCTGCTAAACTGCCAATTAATCGACTTATTTCTGGAAACGAACAGTATGAACAAGCCGACGAGCAACGGTTCGGTCGGGTGGTGCACTGGTTCAATACATTTAGGTACTCCAAAATCGGGTTCTCTTGGTCGGAAATTCGAAAATCCTCTTTCCACGACAAGAAGTTTATAATCCAACCAGCAGACAGGACCGAAAAGCAATTTTAACTTTTCATTGGAGAAATCCAGGATTAAGAAGCGCATTTTGGCATTGTGCACCGGCAATCATGAGCTCTACATGCGCAGAAGGAAGTCTGACTCTATCAAAGTGTAGTAGATTAAGAAACAGGCAAAAAGGGACGTGAATTGAAGGAGGTGTATTTACCTTGGTGACGGAGAATCCCTGAATGCTTCACAACGAAAGGACTTGGACTGACGTCTGCATTGGTTTTCACCTTATTCCCGTGCTCCGCAGACAAGCTATTAGCAACTGAAGCAGCATCTCCGTGATCTACCTGGAAAAGTTTCGTGTCGGAATTCCCCGTACAAAACCCGTGTTTAGGTGTTGGACATGAAGCCACGGTTCCCCCTACATACGGAACATTGGCTCATCCCGTTTCCCCTTTAACATGTTGTATGCGGCCCCGAATCTGGTTGTCAGATCGAACGTAACTCCAGATCCAGTTGAAGCTACTGAGGGGACCAGGTACAGTTCCTCACTCGGATGCCCTCTGCCGACTGGCGCGGTTGGCTCGTGGGTTCTTTCATGTAGTACCGAATATGTTTTTACGGCGGGCGTGGGAAGTGTACCAAAGGGAGCGCCGAGGACGCCGCTCAAAAGAGGAGACGGGCAGTGTAATGCTTTGTTTATGTGACTACCGGGCATTTGGCCGTTACTTTAGAGTTGGTTTGGTCCTTGTACATGTGAGCTGACCTTCGGGCTACGCTCAGGCCCATTTGCCCTATCGTTTTCGAAATATATGTATTCAACGTCACTTATGCCTTCTTCCATCCCATTGGAAACCTGGCGAAGCTACAGGCAAAATATGACATTGCTTTCAACATTGAAATGGGTACCTCTGGTGCAAGCCGGTTTTCTATTTGTTGCCTTGGTTATGTGACTGACGTTTTACGGTCACTTTAGGGTTTTTCTGGCTCTTGTACTGGTGGGATGGCCTCCGGACCATGCTCAAGTCCATTTGTTCTGTTCTCTTCGGAATGCATGCATCCAGCCTCTTACTGCCTTCCTCCACCCTACGGTAAGCCTCGGGACGCTATACCCGCCTCACCCAAAGTAGGCCGTATGGCCAAACATGTGACCATAATCGAAATCGAGGGTTAAACTGGAAACATTCTTGCAGATTTTTAGGGAGTTACCTGCAAGATTTAAAAAAATAGCATAACAATCTTTCGCCCGAGAAGATTTTAGAGTCTACTTGTTATTAGTCCTTTAAGAACATAACATTTCATTTACCTCCCGGGAACCAAGGTCTTGTTCCTCTTCATTCAAATGATTTGAAGTAACCTAATTTTGCATTTACTGTATGTTATTTCTGAGACTTGTGCCTACGCATGCCAGTTCTGACAGACAGTCTTCGTCCGTGAGATCAGCAACTCTCTGTTTTCCGTCAGGAGCGTTCCCTTGTAACTGCTGAACCGGTTGAAAATGGGCTGTTTGTTAATGAAATGATTTCTATCACTCGATGTGTATCTTTACTTTGTGAGGATCGAATTCATACGGTTTTCTATGCCTCAACCTAGGCCTCTATAGTTGCAACAAATACTGCTTGCTGTAGACCTCCGTTCGGCTGCTTGTCGCAACGATATATAACAGATGTACCTAAAAATCTCATTACTTTGCAATAATTCTCGCTTTCTGACCCTATTCATTCATTTATTTTAGGTGCATTATCCACAGATGCACTACGAGCCCCAGTGTCTGCTCTACATGGTGGAGCACTTAGCAGAAACTTAGAAAATAGTGAAATGAGTGTTTTCCCGTGAGTTGATTCGTAATCTTTGCGACAGATTTTGTAAAACTTTCTCATCATCCTGCGACTGTGGGTAGTTGGCGTTAGCTATGTCATCATTTGATTTGTAAAGTACTCAGCTACCGTTACTTCATCGAAATTACGTTATTACAAAAAATTATCATGTATTTCAAGAACTACGTTACGTCTAGCTCTCCGTCAGGTGGTCCAGCTCAATTTTGACAACGGCACTATCCACCTGAATACCTCTATTAAGGCTACAACCTCGTCAGTGCCAAAGTCCATCCCTGGTGTTTCCTCAAAAGGCAGCTTAAGAACGTTTTCTTTGGTATCTCAACAGAGTGGAGCAATAGCATGAGTCCAAAAGTACCGACTAG